TATATGATTTGATCTGAAAGCAATTCACTTTTCTTTAGACATTGATATGTGTATATGAAACTTACGGTGCCAAGGTCAATGATGAAGCAGTCACCCTTGTTGAAACTGACCCAGCTAAGGGGAACTTCTGTGGCTCTCACCACTCTACGACCCTTCACATGTAGGAGCCTCTTGGCTGTCAGGTCGTTTGTAAGAACGTGGTTTAATCCAGATGCCACGCCTCCAGCCTGATGAATGGAGGGAAGACACACAAAAAACAAAGAGAAAACTGATGAGGTGTCTACCTAGACAAAGCAAAGTACAATAATACGGCTGGTGTTTGTGTCAAAACTGTACCATCAGGCCAAGTTAAAATAGCCACCTATTCCATAAGACAAGAGAGAACCCCTTGGTAATCAACAGATTGTGTTTGTTTGGTCTCTTTATTCTTTCTGTTTCAACCATTCAATTGACAACTGCAAGTATTTACTGAGAACCTTCAGTGTATAAAACGCTGCTGCAAAAACAAAAAGAAGAAGCCATAGCTCTTGCCCTTTGGACACTAATGATCCCCAAATCATTAATGAGCAAGAAGGCAAACATTTCAGGGAAGAAGGTGACAGGTGGCTAGAGGAGGATCAGAGATAACACGTACAGATGACAGCAGCCAGAGAAGAAGGCACCCAAAAGTTCACACTGGTACAGGGTTGGGACAGAGATGGTTATTGAGTGCTGGCCAGGAATGGGCTGATCTTATGTATGGTCCTTGTTTTTACATTTAAAGTAATCAAATGTCTTCTATATTTTCTGGTAAACAGGTCTTACTATTAATAAATATGCTAGGCCTGAGTGTTTTTACTGTAAGCTAGGAGAGATGCAATATCTTGACTGTACATCCCCAGCCAAAACAAAACAAAATAAAATGAAATACAATCACACTGAATTAAAGAAACGCTTAAGAAAAAATATTAACTGTATCAACTACATCTTCTTATATTATTTGCAATCATCTTTTACCTTTTCATTTTTTCTAATTAAATGATATGAACCATATCCTTATTTCCACAATTAATTATAATTAATTATATGTGCATAACTGAGCTGCAGAATAAACAAAACTGTCACTGATAGATTAAAGACCTCTATAATAATGGTAAGGAAAATTAGAGCTAATTTGTCATTAGCACATTCTTTTCCATTGACTTTAAATTTCCACCATTCTCCAAGAAAAGTTGGTATAGATTAAATGTTAATTTCAGGACAATTAAAACCTCAAATTAAAAAATATATATATAATGATTTCCTACTCCATAATTTTACAACGACTGCCACATTTCTTGGTTGAATAAGCTAAGCATTATATAATTAAATAAATACAAGTTTTCATCTATGTACTACTGCTTTGAGGCGGAGTTTCACTCGTGTCTCCCAGGCGGGAATGCAATGGCATGACGTCGGCTCACTGCAACCTCTGCCACCTGGGTTCAAACAATTCTCCTGCCTCAGCTTCCCTAGTAGATAGGATTACAGGTGCATGTCATCACGCCCAGTTAATTATTGTATTTTTAGTAGAGGGGATTTCACCATATTAGTCAGGCTGGTCTCAAACCTCTGACCTCAGGTGATTCATCTGCTTTGGCCTCTCAAAGTGTTGGGATTACAGGCATGAATCACCACGCCCGACCACAGTTACTTTATTATTTAATTTATTCCTTAATACAACAGCTGTATGAGGAAGTTGTTACAATATTTATTGCTTGGGGAAACTGAGCACAGAAAGCTCTGTATTTTCCCTAAAGGAAAAACATCATATGTGCAGAAATGGATCCATAACTAGGATGGTGTCACAGCACCTGCTTTTAGTAACTACAAGACTCAACTTATTTAAAATGTTGAGTTCACTGACATAAAGGAAGTTTCAGTATAATTTGTCATAAACTGTAGGAGCTCATGTGAATCAAATAAAATGAGAGGTAATAGTTTTGTATTTAGGGTAGTTCATAGCCTAGAAAAAAAAAATGATTTCAAGAGACATAAGAGAATCTACAATGTATAAGTGTTTTGTTCTGATCTCAATAGTATCACAAAATATTCAACCAAGACTCTGAACAGGTAAAGGTGTGAATAAGCCTTGCCATCTTAGTAAGTGGAGTTAGTATTACAGTCAGAATTGTAGTGACGCTCTAAGGTTTCAGGTCTTCACTAGGGTAGCATGCTGACAAGGCGGGGCAGCGGGATGTGCAGAACACTTGCTGGAGCGTGTTTGATTTCGGAAATCTGTGACGTTTGTCTGGGGAGGGTATTCCTCACACTTGAACTGAACACGCGTGGAGGGGTGGGTGGCAGGAATGGTGAAGGGAGCGCCAGTCTGGAAAGATAACTGGGAGAATGACAAAAAAAGAACAAAACAAACAAACAAACAAAAGACAAAAAAAAACCCTGTCCTATACTGAAGGCTGCCTTAAAGGGATAGAACCATTTAACTATTTGTTCTTGTTTTTCAGAAGTAAAGCCAATCGATCAGTGTTTCAGACCAGTGTGGGTAAATTGTGTATGTGCGTGTGTGTAGTTTACCTGCAGAATTTTCAGCTCAAAAGTTTCATCTGCATCCCTTCTAAGATCAAACCACACTATTTTGGAAATACATGTATAGTTCTTTACAGTAACTAAAATTATAATTATTATAAATACTCTATTAATATATTCCAGAACAACTGAGATTTTGAAGGCTTCGGTTACTTGCAGAAACTTCAGAGATTCTCTAGAATAGCAAAAATGAAAACTTTTAAGACCCAAATTACCAAAATTTAAATGTTGAAATAGCTACAAAATATTAAAAAGTTGTCTTGTGAAGACATAACTGAAAGCTCTTTTAAAAAATTAAGCTATCAAATTAAATTGCCACAATATTTCACGTATTGTACCACACATTTCACAAACATTTACTGAGCACCTACTGTGTATTCATCAGGTACTGGGGATATATCCATGAACAAAACAGATTAAAACAACAACAACAAAAAACAAAAAACCGTGCCCTCAATGAACTGTCATTCTATGAAGACAGGAGGTATGGATGGACGAGAGGAGAAAGGGATTCATAATGGAAAGTGAGGGAGCTGCTTACCTTGTATTTCAGACCGTCTTTGAAATAGCTAACAAAGTCAGTAGACTCATATCCTTGAAGTTCTCTATTCTGCACTGGCTTGCCACCCAAATAGTCATCCATCTGAACAGTGAAGATGGCAGCAGCTGTGCTTTCATCCTGGGAACACTCCTTTCCTAAAACAGTGAACAACAGCACCTCAAATACCAAGCAATAAGAAGGATTAAGGCAGAATTTCTGATATGAAAGGAGTCAGAAATTTTCATTTCAATTATGTGTCAATACAACAGTCTTCTACAGAAAGATCTTTTAGCTAAAATAGTGTAACATATTATTTTGCTAATAATTAACAATTTTTTTGTCTATTTTTTTTTTTTTTTGAGAGAGGGCGTTGCTCTGTTGCCAAGCCTGGAGTGCAATGGCATAGTCATAGCTCACTGTAACCCCAAACTCTGGGGCTTAAGCGATGCTTCCGCCTCAGTCTCACAGGCAGCTTGGACTACAGGTGCATGCCACCATGCTTTGCTAATTCTCAAAAAAGTATTTTGTGCAGCCGGGTGCGGTGGCTCAAGCCTGTAATCCCAGGACTTTGGGAGGCTGAGACGGGCGGATCACGAGGTCAGGAGATCGAGACCATCCTGGCTAACCCGGTGAAACCCCGTCTCTACTAAAACATACAAAAAACTAACCGGGCGAGGTGGCGGGCGCCTGTAGTCCCAGCTACTCGGGAGGCTGAGGCAGGAGAAAGGCGTTAATCCGGGAGGTGGAGCTTGCAGTGAGCCGAGATCCGGCCACTGCACTCCAGCCTGGGCGACAGAGAGAGACTCCGTCTCAAAAAAAAAAAAAAAAGGGTTTTGTAGGGAAAAGGTCTCTGTATGTTGCCCAGGCTGGTCTCAAACTCCTGGCCTCAAGCAGTCCTCTGGCTTTGGCCTCCTAAATTTTGGGGGATTACAGATGTGAGCCACCGTGCCCGGCCTGTTTTTGTTTCTGCTTTTTCCAATTCCTTCAAAAATTTTAAAAAGAAACACTGCTGTGTGAAGTTGCTCGGGAAGATAAAACAACCTATTCCAATGAGATTTAAGTAAACATTAATTTGGTAAGGTCAATAAGATCAGGCTATGAAAACATTTGACAACTGGTTTAGCCTTTGTTAGGATAAATCTTTGGTTTTATGATATGTCAATATGTAAATTAATGTTTGTGAGAAATATGAACATCATGAGCCATAATTAAATAAGTGGTTTTTACAATGGGAAAATGAATATAATTTAATTTTACTCCTATTTTTTTGGTCTTTTTCCCTACTTCACTAACTGATTGGTTTTGTTTGAATGAAATAATGATCTCTGAAGGAAAGGAAGAGCAAAGGAAGCAGCATGCTAACATTTATTAAGTGTTAATGTACTTGGTATTGTTCCGGGTATTTTACATACAACATACATTTAATGTTCACAATTGTAATACAGATCACATCCAGGTAACTTCACTAAGGTCAAAACAATTAGTAAGAACGCGTGTCTGTAGTGTACATAAAGGTCACAGTACGGACAGTCAGGAGGGGTACTCACATTTTATGGAAAACACTTCAAACTCTTTACTACATCCAAGCTGTAATAAAAATCTTAAATGACTCTAGAAATAATAATGGCCAACATTATACATTTATACTACCCCTATGGGCCAGACACTGTGCCAGTGTTTTACATGGATGATCTCATTTAATCTTCAAACAACCTAATAAAGCAGAACCTATTTTCTACTAGATTGGAACAGAGAAAATGGAGGCTTAGAGAGGCTGGGTAACTTTTCTGAGGTCAGAAAGCAACTTTTGGGAGAAAAGGACCAGATGTAGGTTTGTGTGACTCTGAAGCACAGGTTCTTAAAAGCTACAGTACACTTGTGGGTAATTTTTTGTACTCAGGCTCTCATTAACGGTACAATTTTATAGTGACAAGGTATGTTAATTTCTTCCATGGATAACTGATGCATAAAAGCTTAGAAGCTGTAATAATTTAATAGTTCACATAAACAACCCTAATTGAGAGTATTCACCAAAGTTGAAGAAGGGAAATCAGTCAGCTGTATTAAAGAAAGAATCACATTTCTTACAATTCCCCCTCTTACTCTCAAAGGGGACCCATATACCAAGTTTCTTCTGAGGGGGGAAAACAACAACAACAACAAAAAACAACTCAGTAGCTAGAAGACTACTTGACATGACAACAATTTTGTGAACTTGCTGTGGTCAAAGTTAATTATTTAACACACCAGCAATTTTGCGATCTGAAAGGACTCTGGTGTCATTCTTCTGCCAATTTGGGATCCAAACCCTAACTGAGAATACCGTAAAGATGTAGATGTAGATTTTTATGATGCTTTAAGAGATAACTTGGAATCAAGATTAACATCAAAAGTGCTAAAGATGATGTATTTGACATAAACACCCTTACCTGACTACAAGCTGAAACCTGAATCTCTTTAGGTAGATGTAAATGGACAGGCATGAAGTTAATGAATGAACTGAAAGTAAGTTAATTAAATTATGCTATCATTTGCTGATGCTTATGTAATGTGGTTGGCCAGGGGATATCTGTATGAATAAAACAGGCTGCCTGAAAGAGGTTGACGGTCTTGATGAAGCCAATGTCAGCCTTGGGATGCAAAAATTAGAATCAAATTCAGTTGTAGCATGATGGAATTCCAGAAAGTGTTTAGAAACTTATGAACTTTGTGTATAAAGTCTGGTTAAGAATCAATTTAGTTTTCACCTATGAATCTGCTTATGATTTCCATTTGTTGTTTCCCTACACTGATTTTACCAGTGTCTTTTATGTTCTGTTATACTATGTTGTGCCATGCTATTTTATATTATGTTAGACTTGTGTACATCCTGCAAATTACTGTATTTTGTGGTTGTAACGATTTTATAGATAAAAAGAGGGGTTTAAAACTAGGTTAATCCAACAGCCATCCATGATAAAATAAAATAAGCCAAATTAGGAATAGAGAGGAACACCTTCAAATGATAATTACAGTCAACAAAAAATGTAGCGCTAACAATGCGGAACAGTAAAAGACTGAATGTTTTCCCCATAAAATCTGGAAAATGGGTGTGGACTCTCACCACTCTTATTCAACATAGTACAGGAAGTTCTAACCACTGCAATAAAATAAGAAAAAGAAAAAAAGGCATACAAATTGAATATGAAGAAATAAAAAGTTCTCTATTTAGAGACAACAATATTGTTTACATAGTGAACTCTAAGAGAGCTACCAAAAAAAAAAAAAAAAAAACCTCTCCTAGAAATAAAAAGTACATTGAGCAAATTAGCAGGATACAAGATTCACCAGTAACACAAAAAATCAGTCACATTTCTAAATAGAAACAATGAACATGCGGAAACTGAAATTAAAGGCGCAATGCTATTTACAATCACTCCAAAGAAACTGCAATACTCAGACATATAGTTTAAAAAATGTATAGGAACTGTACACTGAAAATTACAAAATGGCATGCAAAATATCAATGAAGACCTAAGTAAATGTAAACATTTAGTGTTCATGGATTTTAAGACTCCACATAATAACGATGTCAGTCCTTCACAAATTGATCTATAGGCCTAATGTTATTCTTATCAAAATCACAGTAAGGTTTATTATAGACATATACAAGCTTATTCCAAAATTTATATAGTGTGGCACAGGCCCTAGAATAGCTAAAATCATCTTGACAAACAAGCATAAAGTGGCAGGAATCGCTCTACTTGATACTAAGGTTTACTATATAGCTAATGTGATTAAAACAGATTGGTACTGTTGAAGGATAGACACAGATCAATAGACCCAATATCCCCCAGTAGTGACACTTTGTAAAATTACAGTATGGCTTAGTATATTAATGTATAGTACAGTACAGCACTGAATACCACAACCAGGATATTGGCATTGATATAATCCACCTATTTTTTTCATATTTTTTCAGTTTTACTTGTATTCATGTGTGTATATGTGCATTTAGTTCTATAAAGTTTTATCACATGAACAAATTCATACATCTGCTATCGCAATCAAGACGCTGTATAGTCCCACCAAAAACATCCTTCATGTTGCCCTTTCATAATACACTCTTCTCCTGCCCACATCATCCCCTCTTCACCCTATCAATACATAACTAATGGCAATGCCAAATCTAAAATTTTGTCATTTCAAACATGTTATATAAATGGGATCATACAGTATAAAGCCTCTTAAGATTTTTCGCTCAGCATGATTCCCTGGAACTTCATCCAAGTTGTTGTATGTATCAACAGTTTGTTCCTTTTTATTGCTGAGTAGTATTAGTTGGTACAGATATACAACTTGTTCAACCAGTCAACTGTTGAAAAGCAACTGGGCTGATTCTAGTGTTCGCTTATTCAAATAAAACTGCTGTGGAAATTCAGGTACAGGTTTTTATGTGAACACAAAATTTCATTTTTCTGGGATAAATATCTATGAATGCAATTGCTGGGTCATATGGTAGTAGTATATTCGGTTTTGTAAGAAACTACTAAACTTTTCCAGAGTGCTGTACCATTGCACGTACCCACCTCCATGCTCCAGCAATGTAAATGATGCAGTTTCTTAGCATTCTAGCCAGTCCTTCATATAAGTTCTTTGTATCGTATATTGTAATCCAATCCTTTGGATTCTCAGGGCACAAGGCCTGATACAGCCCACTTATAACATAAATGTATACTGCTTTAAAATATATTTGGGTAAAGTTTAAAACTGGCAAACAGAAAGAATTAGGATAAGTGTTTGTAGCTCAGGTTAGGGATGTGACAGGGAGCAGTTTTACTATCTAGACCTACCGATTCATTTGGTGCTATAAGGAACTAGAAACAGAAGGTGGATGGATGCATTTAAACTGCTAGGTGCAAAGCTGAAATGTTTTTAAAGAAGGGCTAATGCAATAACATTTAAGTTCTTTGCAATAAATTTTTACTTTCATTACATTTAAGCATATGATGTTAATACATGTAATCTGAGATATACCGAGTGTTATGGAAACACGGAAGGAGAGACCAGGAAAGACGATTCTCCCTCTCTTCTCTCTCGTTTTAGGTCCAACTTCTTCCTATTTCTCCTTTCTGCCTCCCATTTGGCCTGTTTCTTCATTTCTATGCTACGCACCTTTTTTCATCTCAGTTTAACTTTAGTTTCTCTTCCTTCCAGCTGATTCCCTTTAACCAAATGTTCTTTTTCCCTGGATGTTCAGCTCTCTCTCCTGCGACTTTCTCTCAATCTGTCTCTCTGATGAATCCTCATGGATTCATCCTAATTTAGGTCTTAGACCACACTATTCTGGATGAAATTCTGTTTTCTTAGGGAACTGAAGTAGGAAGAACTGTTGGGCAATCCCATCTGAAGGTCCTGTTGACTATTTTACTTGAAGCTTTTTTCCTCTCCGTGATTCTCTCTTGACACAAAAACCCTTCCAAGTACTCTCACTCTTTTTTTTTTTTTTTTTTCTCCATAACACCTATTTGGTGCACTTAATGCTGTTTCACATTTCACTTACTCTGTATTTTTTTTTTTTTTTTTTTTTTTTTTCTGTAAAGGCTTCTGTTTCCCTATAACCACAGACACTTTGTGCTTTCACAGTAACTATCACATTCTACCTGTGTTATATCACTTTTTGTCTTTTTGCACCTTTGAGGTGATGAACTTTCAGAGAAGGTTCATTAATTATTCATATCTACAAGTGCCTTGTACAGTACTGGCCGTATTGAATAATTACTGAATGAATTCGCTTGTTATTAACATGTTATTGACTTCAGTTTTAGCACGTCTTTAAGAATATAAATGTTTCTGCCCAAAGCATTTTTTATTATATTTTTGAAATTTATGAGCACCAAGTGGATAATTAAGCAGATAATTAACTGAATAAGGTGAATCTATAAACCCTACAAAACTTAGTAGTTAAGTCAACTTGGATAAAAATGTATAGAATTAAAGAACTGTGTTCAAATCTCCCTTGCGGTTGTCTGACAAAGTCAAACTTAACTGCTGTCTACAGTAAGATACGGAATGATTTCACATTTTAATTTATTCAAATGGCAAATGTGGCATTTCAAACACTTTCATTCATATTAGATTTATGTTCTGCATAGAAAGTCCTCTGTAAGGACATCATTATTCTATCTGGCATCATTCATTTTGAACATGGGTTATATATTAAAGTTTCAGTGTTTTCTGGCACAAAATACAAATAGATGACAGTGTATTACAGCATTATAATAGGAATAACAGCAATGCAGCAAGAAACCAAAATGTGTTTAGAACTCAAGCTGAGCCTTCTCCGCCTCCTCAAACTAACACAAATTTTTGACTCCAAATGTTATAATTAGAAGTCTTGTCTTCATCTACATATTTTTCATTTCTCATTTCTCAAATGCCTGTTCCAGGTGTTTGCCAGTGTTTAGACAGTCACTATTCCATGTTTTCTACTATTTCATTTCTTAAAATCTTCAAGTGTTAGACATTACAATGTTGGCTTTCAGGGACTTAAAAATGTGTATGCGTGTGTGTGGTTTTGTGTGTTTTCCTCCTAAGCTCAGGGATAAAACTAAACAAACACGAGTACTGGGCAGGCTAGCTAGTTTTAAAAGAAGGCAAAAAGGCTCAGAGAATAGGCATGTTGTTAGACAGGGTGTGCCCACTGGCACAAGACCTCCTGGGGAGAGGGTGGACATTCAGGATGTTTATGAGTAAAAGTAGAAGGTGGAAAAAGAACACACAAGGCCCAGTGTCCTGACAGCCTGGCACGAATGCAGCTCAAAATAATTACTACCGCTGAAGGAACAGTTTCTGTTCCATCTTGTGTCCTTGCTAAAATAAATAATAAATAATAACAATAAAGCAGTCTATCTACATAAATATGTGAAATACCCATAAAGAGCTATTTATTTATATATAAAATATCTGTATATTTTTCTCGCTTCCATCTGAGGGCGTCAGCTTCCTAATGAAGCGGAGTTTTTGTCTACCAGACCCGCAAGCAGCGTGGTGCGGGTAGAATCCTATTTTAAAGAGGCCCAGAACAATAATCCCCGCAATCATAGAGAAAATAAGCCAGTGCCCGAAAGCAACAAACAGAAATAATGTGTGAAGGAAAAGAAAAAGACTTCTCCCTAGCGGCGGCAGATGCACCCAAACTTTATGACTTCCTCTCCATCCCGACGGGGAAAGCAGGACTGAGCTTGTCGGAAGGTAAGTAGGGCTTGGCTAGAGACGGCGCGCGCGGAGGCAGAGCCCCTGGACAAGAGTGGCGTTTGGAGACTTGAAGGTGAAAGGGGAAGAAGCCAGAGTCACCAGCTCCAAAGTCCCGGAACTACACTTGGCAAAGGTCAAAGCCTGTGGGGTAAGTCGATTGCGGACGACGCCAGAGCCTCGCGTTTGCAGCAGGCAAGTTGACTTCGGCGGGGAGAAAGTGGCCGGCCGCAAAGGGCCGCCGGACAGGTCTTCAGTCTAGCTCAGTTTGCGGTCCCCTTTGCTCCCACGTCTGCAAATCTCGGACCCCTACGTCCTCCCCTCGCCCGCCTTGGCGCGTCGGGGTCCCGCCGCCCGCCGTCCCTTACCGAGCCAGAAGTGCAGGCGGTAGGTGAAGCCTCGGCTCGTCTTGGCCGTATGCAGCACCAGGTAGGCATCCCCGACGTAGAAGTCTCCGTGAGCGCTCTGGGGCACGGGCACCAGCTCCAGCTTCTCAATCCTCCAGACCTGCAGTCCCGCCTGCTTGCCCGCCCGGGCGAACTCCTCGTGGTATAGCTCCTGTGCCATGGCTCCTGCACGCGATGCTCCGGAGGGCGCGGGATCTCGCTGACCTTGTAGCTGGACTAAACCCAGAGCAGCAGGAGGAACCTTATTCGCCGCCACTTTATAGGGTTTGCCATCCGGGGAGGCGGCGCCCTGAAACGGGAGGGGCTAAGTGCCCGGGCGCGAGTTGATGGAGTAGGCGATCGCTTCCCACGGGGAGCGCAGCGCTGGCTTCCAAGCTCCCACGCCCTGCCCCAGGCCAGGAGCAGAATCGGCGTCCCAGAAGTGTTGAGATTCAGAGGGAGTTTATAGTAACTCGTGCCAATGCCTCCTCCAAGGAAAGACATTTTCTCTAGCAATAGACGGAGAACATTAACGATTAAAACTGCCTGGCACTCTCTCGTGCATACTCATCATCACCGTCCTGCATATTTCCTCTTCTCTCGCTAATTCTGTTATTTCTGGATCTCAGTTCTTGGCAGGAGGGGTGAGGTGAGGAAAGAGCGTGCCAGCCCTACAGAGTTGAGTCAGCGTTTACCCGGGTGGAGCAATACCTGTTCTTTCTGGCCCTCTAGAATACTTCTTTCCTAGAACAAATCTTCCTCTGCTAATAGCAACACTTGCCGTTAGGCAGCAGAGGAGTGTGCCACATTAGCATGTTGGAATAATTTTAATGCATCCTTCTTTTAAAAATTGGCTTTTTGAGTAACAAACATCCTAATGATCAATTCTGTCATTTCATTGGGCAATCTCTCCATTCCTGATGACCAAAGTTTCTGTCTTGATCTTCCAGTTTGAAAATACCATGAAAAACACCATGTCCGTTTTCTTGGACAGGAAGAAAACCTGGAAGAATGACAGTCTTACCCCAGGTGACAGAGCTCTGTAAATCTCAAGGAGTTCAGGAGCTGTGGTTGAGTTCTCTTACCACCTGCTTCCTTTGGCCAAGAAAGATGAAAACAACAACAAAACAACAAAAACCCAGCAGCCGCCCTCCTGAGATGTTCTCTGCAGGGCTGTTTGTGGCTGTAATTTTATGCTTGGCCAGCCTTCTGGGTTACCTGTTACCTAGTTTCAAGGTGAAAATTTTCTCATTGTTTTACCTACAGGTTTTGCTTTTGCAGGATGGCTAAAACACTATGGAATTTTTAGTGTTCCATATGGAAAATTTACTCTTGATTTGGCATTCATTTAACAAGCTGGTATAGTAAAGGATTTTATTACTGAAAAAGGCAAATCACTCAGTATGTATAGAGTAAGAAAGCTGAATTTCATGCATGTAAAATTGTTTTCATTCAATTTCTAAAATTACATGAATCCCTGGAACGTCAATAATAATGCAAAATTAGATTTTTTCCTTAATTAAATTATGTTTTTCATAGGTTATTACATGACCATGGTAAAAAAATTAAAAGTACAAAATGTGTGCAATAAAAAATTATCTCCATTTCACCCTGCCACCCAGTTGCTTTCCCCAAAGGCAATTACGCTACCAGTTTCTTATGTATTTTTCCAGACACTCAAATTTTGTCAACAAGAATATAGATAATGTAGTTATTTTAAATTTTTAACAGAAAATGTAACATATAACCTTTCCGAATTCCCCCACCGTGTGTGTGTTTGTGTGTGTGTCTGTGTCTGTGTATCAACACACAGTACTCATAGAGCTACCAGTTTTTACTGACCACATGGTATTCTACCTTATAAACATACTAATTTATTTTGTCTATCTTAGTTCATAGTGTAGGGGCCAAGGGAAAACTTCCTGTCTGCCCTCTGAAGCTTCACTGAAAAACCAAGTCACAAAAGGCAGATTAACAGGACAAATGGCATACAAATTTATCAACAGACATGGGGGAGAATCACAGAGTGATTGCCCAATATCCCAGTGAGGTACAGATGGTTGTACATCCTTACTAGAGGAAAGGCAGATGGGTGATGTATGGGTGATTTGGGGAGTTAGAAAATGATTTTTAGGGGAAGTCAATGGTTTTGAAGAACATACAATGGCCTGAGACAAAGTCTGTTAAGCCTGCAGAGCAGGCAGTGGTTTGTGACAAAAGTCAGTCCATGTGTGTTGACAGACTTCAGTTTTTCTTTCTGCAATATGAGTTCAGTTTGTGGAAAGTCGGGGAAGCGACCAGAGGTAACTGTTTTCTTTGGCAAGTCGAGACTTTAGGCAGATAAGGGAACTTCAGAGAACACCTTCATCCTGTGCTTTGGGAAAGAGAGGATTGGTGAATGAAGGTCAAAGAAAATTTGAGGCTTCTTCATTTCAGCATGTCAAAGTGTCACATTTTGTGGTATTGGTTTCTGAGCCCCAACATTAGGCATTTAAATTTTGTGTGTATTTTGCCAATACAGTGTTACAAATAGCATATTGAACATACTTTATTATACATTTGCAGTATTATAATTGAGTTAAACCCCTGGAAATATAATTAGTTGGGATTAAATAGTTTTTATGATAGTGATGATAATTACGAAACCAATTACTACCACTAACTGATGTTTGACAATAATTGGCTATAGTACACATTATCTTGATTCAATTCCTGCTTCCATCCTTAGTTCTGAGGCTTTCAGGAAGTTGCTTAACTACACACAACCAGTCTCACATTCCTCATCTCTAAAATGGGGAAGTAATATTTGCCTTATAAGATTATTTGGTTTAAATGAGTTGACACAAATAAGGTATTTGTGTCTGTTACACAGAAAACGCTCAATAATTAGGAACTATTATTATGTGTGGTAAGTTTTCTTTTGCTCCTTTAGATCTATTCTCTGTCCTGCACCCTTCCATCTTCCCTTGAGGCTGATCTGCAAGAGCTAAATCAAGTGGGCTCTGATATCCTCTAGCTGAGGCTTGGTTGGAGATCAGAGGGAGAAGAGAGTGAGGTCGGAGTATTCATTTGCTTGGCTTCTTCTGCAAAAAGTCACTGTTCTTTTAAAGGCAAATAACTCTGCCTGACTTTTTCTCTCCGGTTGGGTTATAGCAACTCTCCCTTCACATGTTTTATTCCTTTTGTTTTTCTCTGCCTCTGTACTTTTGTATATAGCTTACTAAAAATCTCCTGGAATTTTCCTATTTTGCATGCATCCTCTGTTGTAAGTTGAGATCCTAATGGATAAATTTTATTATCTATATTCTTTTTTTTTCTCCTGACCAAAACAGTGAGAGGTGAATATGAAGCCTCATTTTACTGATGAGGAAACTGAAACTTTGGAGTTTGCCATAAGTCAGTCACCCAGCTGATGAGTAGCCAAAGGGAATTCAAGCTCTCTCTCTCTCATTCAAAAGCACTTGCTCTTTCCAAAAACGTATTCTTTCAATATGAATTATTTGGCCAGGTGTTTTTCCCTGAAGCATACTTTATGGTTTTATTTTCCTGAAGGTTGTACCTAGAGAAGCTCCTGATCTAGTGTGTCCTATGCAGCACTAAGAAACTTAGTTTTAACTTTGAGCTGTTTCCTGTAGACTGAAATCATGTATTCTCTTCCTCCTGAGGAAAAAAAAATATATATAAGAACTGGTGCTCTAGACTTAAGATAATTTAAAAACCAGAAGTATCTCAAGTTCAGTTTCAATTTCAGTGATCATTCCTTTCTTGGAGAAATAAAAAGAAGCTTTGGCATAGATGAAAGTGAAATTCCCTCTAGCTTAGGCCAGAGCCAGCGTGAGGCAAGTAAGACACATGCCTAGGATGCAAAAGTTAAAAAGGCACAAAAAAAAAAAAAAAAAAAAAAAAAAAAACTAAAAAAAAAAAGGCAACTGAGACCTGTGAAAAAAAAAAAAGTAGCATTCAAGATAAATACTATTTTATGGTGATATTTTAAAGCTCAAAATTAATGCCAAATATCATGATATAACATTTCAAATAGAGACAGGATTGTATATAGTGCTGTACAGGCTGAGACAAAGGAAAAGTACTGATCCTTCCATAACTTAAAACTTTGGGCTGGGCACAGTGGCTCACGCCTGTAATCCCAGCACTTTGGGAGGCCGAGGCGGGCGGATCACAAGGTCAGGAGATCCAGATCATCCTGGCTAACACGGTGAAACCCCATCTCTACTAAAAATAAAAAAAAATTAGCCAGGCATGGTGGCGGGCGTCTGTAGTCCCAGCTACTCTGGAAGCTGAGGCAGGAGAATGGCGTGAATCCGGGAGGTGGAGCTTGCAGTGAGCCGAGATCGCGCCACTGCACTCCAGCCTGGGCCACAGAGCGAGACTCTGTCTCAAAAAAAAAAAAAACCCAAAAAACAAAAAACACTTTGATAGTTAGTTAATAGTTTAGACATTAATTTTTGTATTTTAAAAAGTGTTGCATTGAAATACTACTTTATATACTAAAATACTTGATTTCTTTTTTCTTTTTTTTGTCCTGTTAATTTTGTGCATGAGGCAAGTGCCTCACTCCCCTGACCCTAGTCCTCTTCTGGCTAAGTGAGCTCCAGATCTAAATTTCCAACTCCCTGATAGATAGAGATACCTGATAGGTCCTGCTGAGGTCAAGTTCAACATAGGCACAACAATCTTATCGTTTTATCCAAACATACTTCTATTTTTTTCTAATTTCACTAACAGCATCATTTAGTTTTGACCTAACACTCTCTTTTTATCTCCATATTCAATCATCAATCCAATCCATCCCTGGTAGCCCACTCTCTTGCTCCTCCTCTGATCTTCAGTAGAGACACGCAGTGAAAGTTAAGCAGCCTAACTTACAATATGGCTTTGACCTAGGTTGAATCCTTGTTCTCCCCCATTTCAGCTCACTGAGCTGGGGCAAGTTACTAAACATTATGTGTCTCAGTTTTCTCATCTGTGGAATGGGGATACTGATAGAAATTTCCTTGTAGAATTGTCATGAGGATTAAATGGATAAATAGATATAAACCTGGAAAAGTACCTGGTACATAGTAAGTGGCAATAAACTCCACTGAGACTAACAAGTGATTTATTCATTTATCCAAATTCAGTCTTCAACGAATAATGTTTCCAGAGCCCAGATAAGGACTGACCGTTTTCTACACAAAAAATGGTCTCCAAAACCAAGTGCCAATTTCCTTTCCAGGCCTTTATTTTCTCTTCCTCTCTCATACCCTAGTTTCCTAAAAGTAAATAATTTCCTTCCATTTGTGTTATTGCCCTTCTTCCATATCTGTCTGTTAAAGTTTCTAATTCTTTCAAGTCCACTTCCTTAGGGTCATGATTCCCCCGGATCCACTAAATTCCAGCATTCTCTGTGCTCCCAGCACTCCAGATCTGCTTTCATCATAGCAGCTCCCACACTCTGAAGTGTGTTTTCTCTCTCAAGTTTGAAGATTCACTTAGAGATTCATGTCTCATTATTTGATTCCCTGGCTTTATAGCAATACATGCTGACTAGGTATGATTGAATTGTTTGTTTTAGATTAAATTACATTTATATTTTCATCAATTTACAAATCTCAGTCCAAGAAGAAACACCCGATGTGAATAAGTCTTTACCAAGAGTCAGGAGATTTGAGGTTTGGGGCTATGTGATTGGATTCGAGATAAGTGCTCTAGAGTATTAATACCTCGAGGGGAATGTTGCATATGTTATTCCTCTGAATAAAAAACAATGTCAAATAATATAATTGATTTATTGTGCAATTCCCTAAAATGGGTTGGGAAAAATGAATCAGTTTCAAACGACCTTCATTCCTCAGGGGTAGAATCTCTGAGTTGAGAGACATTTTATTTATATCATTGCATCGTGATCCCAAAATTGTTGAAACTAAACATATGAAAGACTGGGACTGCAATTTTTTTTCCCCCAGAAAAGGTAAATGCTTTGAATGTGCTATTTATTTGCTTTCTTTTTTTTTTTTTTTAAATAAGTAATGAAATAATGTAGTTAAAAATACA